TTGAGTGTTAATTTATATGCGTTTCAGTATTTGTGTATGAAGGTTTTTTAATTTAAGTATAACTTAAATATAATTGAAGTAAAAAATGCCAGAATTTTGAACTATTTTACTGTAACCAAAATGATGATTAAAATAACAAATGTTTAATGTTTAAGCCAGTAGTTGGACTGATAATGATTGTGCATCATCAACATGAGTTACATGTTAAGACAAATAGCACAATAAGGCAGCTTAAAAATGTGAATTTTCAATTCCATTAAAGTTGATCCTATAAACATATGAAAACATCTGATTATACTGCTTGGTTAAGGCAATCAAAAATAGTTTATTCATCAGAGTCATTTTCATATTTCCTGAATCATTAGCCCTTCAAAACTGAACAGTTATGTATTTGAAAATGGAATGCATTCTTTCACGACAAAGTATTTTCAAAATTATTTAAAATAATTAGAAATCAACATTTTAAAATTAAAATTAGCAATCAATGTTATAAAACAGGGCTTCTTAAACTATGTGTCACAACCCCATTTGGGGTCACTTAGGGAAATCTTGGGGTCACGAGATTTTAATGCAAAATATTGAAAATAATTTGTGAGAGTTTGAAAATGAGGCATGCTTTGTGTCATAGGTTTNAAAAATTATACGTGTTTTGGAAATGCTGAGTGGAATTAGTCTAGAATCGGTTAATTTTATATAAGAAAACCTTTCAAACAGCCTTAGTCCATAAAGTTCACACCTATCGGGCTGCAATTGGCTCATGTATTTAATCATTCCTACAACGTAAAATTCGATTAGCGTGGAATGTATCTAAGCGTTATAGGGGGGTCTACTGTATTGTTTTTGCAAATTTGTATATATCTTTATTTTATATTTTTGGGTCGCAAAAAAAATCACAATCATAAATGGGGTCGTGAATAAAAAAAGTTTAAGAAGCCCTGTTATAGAACATTTGAATAAAATTAAAAAATTAATCTATTATGTAAAATAATTTACATTTTAATTTTATTCAAATATTTTATTACATTGATTGCTAATTTTTGTTTTAAAATGTTTAGATTTTCAACTGTTTCAAATAATTTTAACAACATTCCACTATAAAAGAATACACTCCATTTTACTTTCCTGGCTGTTACATATAGATAACAAGGGAAAGCATTGAAATTGTGTTAAATTTGACCTTCTGAGTTTTCTGTAAATATCCAGATTTGAGATCTCTTGATTCAAAAAAGTAAAAAAAAAAAAAAATTTCATGGATGTGCATGTTGGTGTCTATTTTGCTTAATATCTTAGAATGGAATAAAGATTAAGAAATGGAAGAAATGTTCCTCACATACAAGCCATCGTTTTATGGTGGCTTGTATGTGAGGGGCATTGATGCTATTAAATTTTGGTGGTTAAAGGTTAAGAGTGTGAGGAGATAAAGGGGTGTCATATCATATCTCGAGAGGGTAGAACTTAATAAAGATTTTACTTGTTATTAACATTTACACTTTTTTATAAAACTCATCCCTGCTCTCAAACTTAAGCTTTTTGCCATTTTATAGTAATTAAAAATATAAAGTTTTTTTATAACAAAATCTCATAACAGATAGTGCCACACACAATTTTATTTATTTTGCATAATAATATAAAAAAATTTTTTAAATATAAACTCATAACAGCCAGGAAAGTTACGCAACTCTCATTGCTGGATTTTTTGAATATGTAATTGTTGTATTTTGAAGAACTAATACTGGATACTGGAAAGACAAAAGCATTTCTGGTAAATAAAATATTTTTGAATGTCTTAACAAAACAAAATAGAAATCACCACAGTGGAACCTTGAATTACTTTCAGTAAGCATTTATTTATGACTAATATTTTTGATCTACATAGGAGATCTTCATTAGTTTAGAAAGTTCTAAAATAAAGTGTGAGAAAAGAGAATATACTTAACCAAGAACTTAACCAAACAGTGTAATCATATGTGAAATTATTGAAATAGTGATAACTATAAGCAAAACTCTGATTAAAATATGATTGCAACCTTTCTAGTAAGTTATAACAGTGCTTTTATCCCAATTGCAAAATTAAAGCATCTTCAGAAGCATAGGAAATAGAAAAAGCATTTTGCACAGGTTATTCCTTTCATATGACCACCTTTCTTGGCCACACTTAAATTGTTAAAAAGAACTTTACTTGTTTGCACTATTAACCAGTACATGGAAAAATAATTCTCCAATACTTTCTGACTTATGGAGGCTAAAAAATTCCAAGACTAATCCATTTACTTAAACTGGAATTAGAGCCAGTAATAGGCCCAATTATCTCTATGGGCTCAGTTATAGGCCCAAAACTAGCATAAATCATCATGATAAATATAGATAAAACTCTTTCAAGATTAGGAGGAATAGTATTTCTCGCACTGTATGTAGACGATATAATGATCATTTACAGTAGTAAAGTAACATCCCCCGAGAAAATATTAGAACAAGCCAATAAGATAAATGAATGTATTAAGTTTACTGATGAGAGTGAAAAGCTTAGCAGACTTAATTACTTAGATATAACAATTGTTAGATTCAACGATCACTTAGAATATTGTAAGTATGAAAAGCCTTGCAGTGCAAAAAAAGTCGTAAACTTTAAATCTTATTGTCCAATTAACCTGAAGAGAAATATATTTTTGATGGAAATATGTAAGATCTTTTCCAGAATGACCAGACCAGATATAAGAGAAAAAGAAGTTAGCAAAGTAAACAAGAAATATTTGTTAAATGGCTATCCGAGAAGACTTCTAAAGAATTGGTATGATGAATATTTAGAGAACAGATATCAAGTAAAGAAAAAACAAGAAGCAAATAAGTATGTTTCTTTTCCATATATTAAGGGTCTTTTTGAAAAATATTAAAAAACCTTTTGTAATAGTTTAATTAAATTAGCTCCGACCCAAAAAAATAGGTTATTTGGACTGGTAACAAGATCTTATATGAAAAAAAAATTATTGGAGGAGGAGGGAATGGTCTACAGACTTCAAAGTACATGCAACATGCCAAAGTTTTATGTTGGAGAAACGAAAAGGAAACTACAAGTGAGGCTGTCAGAACATCTGGCTTTGATATGGCTCAAAGTTGATACCTCTCCAGTATTTTTGCATTGTTATGTGAATAATTGTCATATTGATACTAATAATAAAAAAATTTTACATCGGGAAAAAATGTTGTAAAAGAAAAATTTAAGGAACATTTCGCAATTGTTATGCAAAATAATGTAATGAACTTAAATAATGGAGTGATACTCGCAGAATGCTGTCTAATCAGATATAAAAACTGTAAACACATTGTGAATTGTGAGAGTGATGTGTCTATCACTGATGGCTAACTTGTATCATGGTTTGTTTATGAGAAGCCCTACTGAGGAGGCCGATAACAGTGAAATGCATTTAGGGTATTGAATATAGAGTAAACTAAAACAATTTTTTCTTTCAAAGTTAACTTGTTTTTGACTTTTAATTTTTTAATCCTGGCTCTAATTCCAGTTTAAGTAAATAGATTAGGGTCTTGGAATTTTTTAGCCTCCATAAGTCAGAAAGGATTGGAGAATTACTTTTCCATGTACTGGTTAATTAATAGTGCAAACAAGTAAAGACTGATTATCTGACTTCATCGTTTTTAATAATTTTTTAAAATTATTTTATTAATGTTAAAAAGAAATTAATCTTTGCATGTTCTTTTAAAATTCTTTTTATAAAATTTGGTTTAGATTTGTTTACTTAAAGTTTACTTTACATTTGACTGGATGTCTGTCAAGGAGGACAGTTCCAAGAGACAGATCAAGAATGTCATTGGTCAATAAATCTTATATTTGGAACTTTATCTTTGGGTCAGAGACCCAAAAATAAAGTTTCAGATAGAAGGATCCCACTGTCTTGATCAGTCCATCTGAATTTTGTCTTGGCCAGCTGCTTTTCATTATTTGCTCACTGTCTGCCATCACTAATCTCTTCCTTGGATACTCCAGCTATTTCTCCAACAGTCCTTTAGGTGTGATTATCATCTACACCAGCTCAACCATCTGTCAGTATTTGCTGTGTTGTCTGAAGAACAGCACAGCAAACACCTTCAAATCTTCCTCAAGATAATCTCAAGTAATTTTCAAACTATTGCTGGGTGGTGTCAGAATCCTGAAATAATCTTCCCACAATTATTAGACCACTTGGCAGATTAAACTGTGTGCATAGACTTCACCAATTAGTACCTATGTATGAACAGTACAGCAGTATGGTAATACTTGCATATAAGTGACTAAATGTCCAGGAATTAAATAACCCAAATTCCTTAGGGTAAACATCAACCTATAGAGATTTCTCCACCATGTGGTATACTAACTTTTTAAACATTAGTAGACCGACATTACAGTATATTGTTAATTAATTTGCTAAAAATATTTAAAAATGAAAACTCTGCTGTATCCTTGCTAACAACTGAAGAGAGGTATTTTGAAAAGAAATCTTCACATAAGAAATTTTGAAATAAATATAATAAAATGCATAAACTGTAATGAAATAACATGGATGTCCACTGAAGCACAACCCCCGTGTCCAACTTTGTCCACCTTGTCATAATCCCCCCTTCCAGCATGGACATCATGGGCAGCCCCTAATAATAAATGGGACATGTTACAGTTAAATTTTATGTAAAGATATGAACTTGGCAAAGAGTCTAATTACAAAACTAACTGAAGTTTAATTTAATATTACATTATTTACTAATATTTAGAAAAAAAGAAAAAAATATACATTACTGAATATAAAAATAAAATAGACAGCTGCAATCTTAACACAATAATTTTTCCTGGTTAATTACATAATTTAATCTTGAGTTGAAATGTTATATATATTTTAAATCATAATAAATAATAAAGGCATTAATGAAAACAAAATTAATCAATCAAAACAAAATTTGATAATTATCAAAATTATCAACATAAAATAATTTAATAGAATTAAATCAAAAATTACCTCCATTAGTTTTTGCCAGTTACTTGACACTGAACTACATCTTGGATAATTCGACACCGTATCACTTTTCTTCAGTTTCATTTTCTTATTTTGAATTATGGAATTTTTCAATTTCCTCTAAAAAATTATTTTAAAATAAATTACTTTCTCCTAGACTTATTAGTAAATCTGAAAAAACATTCAGAGCAAGTGTGAACTAATAAATCTTGCATAATGTAAGAGTGAATTACATTATGCCTATAGACTTCAAACAGATGCTCTTCTAGATGTATACATTAATTTTAAATTATTATACAATATCAATTTTTATAGCTAAGTCTTCTGATTATATGCTTAAAAACCTTCTATAACTAATGTCTCCCACATGTTATACATTATTAATATACTCTTTTGGAAAATGAAAGTTTTTCATAAAAAGTATATATTTTTCATATTTAATATATGTACAGTACATTACTTTGTAAATGAAGCAGTAAATTAATGTATTTTAAATAATCTTTTATTTTATCAATTTTTAATAAAAGTTTTGGTTTCACAAAATATTAATTTTCTTTTTCCTTCTTGAAATAATAAAAACAAGTTAGTTTTTTGCCTACAATATACTTTGTTATTTTAGTTTTACAGCTTAATTCATTTCTTATTGTTAAATTTAAATAATCAAATATTGAATACAGATTGTTTAATAATTTTATATAATCACAAATGCATAAACAAAAATGTCCTGATTTTTTAACCATTTGTGATTAAAAAACCAGGACAAAAATATAATTTATACACTTAATATTGATATAGATTCAGTTTAATAGGTTTTAGTCCTCCAAATTTTTGTTTTAGAACTAAAAACAAAACTAAAAACTATTAGTAGAAATGAACTAAAACTGAAACTAAAACTCCTGAAAACAGTTTTAATTTATACTTTGAAACAATATATTATTTGGATTTTAGTAAAGTTTAAAAATTCTTATTCTTTTTCAAAGTGCATACTATAGGGAGGTTGCCGAATTTATTATAGTTTCTGTTTATTACAATTTATTATATACAGTGGGTGATCAGTTAATGAACAGTTTGGACTGTGAACAAATCAGGCAAGGAACACTTTCACGAAAGATTTTTATGTTCAGACAACAAACGTGTTCAGATAATGAACACTTGACAGAACAAATACAAGAAGTTATGCTGCGTTTAAGATTTGTAAAACTATATTTTAATAGCATCTATAAATGGTTTATCATTTATGGAACAACTTTCACAGTTGTATATGTGACCTTTCGGGTCGGCACCTCTTTAGTGCCCTGTCAGGATTGCCACCACCGTGTTTATTGGAACACGGAAGCCGAGACGGCAATTACTACGTCACACCATCGCACAAGCAGTCCTGTAAGTGGACAGACAGATTCGTAATGTCAGCCGATCAAGAGACAGCATGTGGAAGAGACTCGAACTACAATTAACACTTAACAAGGATTTAATTAAAAATAAATTGGATAAGATACAGAGGTTCTAAAGTTGTTCACAAAGAGAGAGAGTTCACATAATGAGCGCGAGTTGCATAAATACCTGGTGATCTCCCAATGGAGCTCTCGTTGGGTGATAATAATTCCGATGGTGATTAGTCCCATTATAATATTCACTATGACAATGATGGCATAAGTTATCCAAAATGGGCAAAGGTGGACAAAATTCCTGGAGTAATCAATGCTGATTTCCTTTGACGGAGGGACAGATGACGACTGACTTTTTTTGGCCGTCTCTGGTGATATTCACGGACAATATCGACTGTCCAGAGATTAAAAGATCATGAGAAAGTGTCATGTTGCCTTCGAGAAAATGTAACGGGAGACTTTCTCAGTTAGCTACGAACAACAATCATTACGTCTCTTGAATCATGTTAGTATTAAAGACCAGTTCTAATATGGGAATTTCTTCTATCTCACATATACATAACCTTTTTTGTATTAGTTAATTTCTGTTCTCTGAATTTTTGCAAGTGCTTTCTGAACTTTCTATTTAAAAAACTGATAATATTATGGGGCTTAAAAAAAAGTGGAGTGTCAAGAACTGTGTTCATTATAGAAACTAAGCAAGAGATAACAGCCAAGGTAAAGAATGGGCAGAAGATGTCTGATATTATAGAGATGACTTTAACAGATCTACAGTAGATACAATCTTAGCTAAGAAAGATATAATCAAAAAGAATCAAGCAGATAAAAAAGTAATGAAAATTGCATCTGAGAAACAAAGATGTGCCATCCATAAAAAATTGAAGAAAGTGCTTTTAGTTTGTTATTAAATGTAAATAAACATAGTAAGAAAATATATAATTTTTTATTTATTTTTTGGGGTCTCCAGGATGAATTAATCAAATTCCCACAAAAATCTATGGTAAATTGATAATCAGTTAAGAAATAATTTGGATAGTAAACATATTCTTGGAATGGATTATGTTCGTTAACCAATCACCCACTGTTTTCTTACACCAAGGCAACCAAACTAAAGTGAAGACTTTTAGTTTTGTAAAATTGTAAAGCACAATGGAACCTAAAGAATTGCATGCTAGTAGTAGATCAAAAGGAAAAATTTGGGACTATTTTAATTATGATGTTACTATGAGAAACTCAAAATGTATTATTCCAATTTCAAAAATTTTAAAAACACCATACTTTTTTATTTTGATACATAAAATTCTATTACTTTTAGTGATGAAATGCAAAGATTTACAATAAATTTGTTTTTATATCAACAAACATAACAGTATTTATTTTATATTTTAGTTTTGAATTATTTTCTTTTTCAGTTAACACATTTCTTACAGCAAATTCAGGTGTATTTCTTATTTTAAGAAAATTCACAACAGAAAAAACAAACTACTTCTATCAGTTTATTTAACATCTTCAGGATTACTATCATATAACAACTATAAAATCAATTATTCAATTATACTCACAAAATTTAACATATGATATAACTCAGTAGCCTTCCAACTTTTGTGCTTGCATACACTTCTATCAGTAACAATAAATATACCATATTTACTCAAATGTAAGATGCACTGTTTTCAAGTTTTAGTATCTCTAAAAATAGAATGTGTTTTAGATTCAACATAGCATATCATAATTAGTGACCTGTACTGTCATGCCTCTTATTTCATTGTCATTAATTCCATTTTGTCATTTTAATGATTTTATTAGACCAATAATCATAATACTAAATATTTAAGAGGTCAACTTAGCTGAATATTTGTATTATTAGATTGATCTCATTAGTCTATTAAAATCATAAGTACTGGACAAAAATCCCAAGAATCCCAAAAAAATTGTGCAGTCTTCTTTCTGTTACATTTTTGATGCTTCAAACAGCACTGAGAATGATTGCATGTGGGAAGATGTAAACATCAAATCTAGTATTGATTTATAAGAGTGCAATACAAAATGTGAAGAGGTTTCCTACTTTAATACCATGGAAGATAATATTCAATGGCGTCCTAGGAGGAAAAATCAACATTCTGGAAAGAGAAAGGATAAGTTATTTTATAAATTACACTATAAACTTATTGATTGGTGTTGGTAACATATATATAGTGCACAAACATTTTTGGGCTCCTCCAGAATCCTGCTCCAGGTGAATCCCACTGTTTCGTTAATTGAACACAATTTCAAACATAAAACATCGAATGTTCATTAAATAATGAATAACATCCAATGTCCATTAAAAAACAAACAAATTTTAAACAAACAGAAGTTGGAACACCTGCCTTAACATTACAAAAAATATAGAACAAAATGTCATGCATCAGTATGTGAATGCGCAAGAGGTCCTACAACAGGGTTGTCCAACTTTTTTTCTTAATGGACCAAATTAGAAAGTTAGGTATATTCAGCAGGCCACAAGGGTAATTAATATAAATACAGTGGGTAATCGGTTAATGAACATAATACATTCCAAGACTTTGTTCTTTATCTGAATAGTTCATTAACCGATTATCGATTTACCATAGGTTTTTATGGGAATTTGATTAATTTGTTCCGGAGACTCCAAAAAGTGAAAAATAAATATTTTTTTACTATGTTTATTTATATATAATAGTAAAAATGTGTCGATTGCTTTTTTTTCTTCAAGATTTTTTGGAAGTAATTAATAGTATTGTAATTGTAGAGATCCCCAATCTCATTAACACTATTCTGGTTTGCATGCCACTTGGATGATCGTTGTTCTTACATTCTCCCACTTCTTCAAAAGACCTTTAGTAGCAGATGTCAACCTTCTTCTTTTTCAAAATAAAACACATCTCGCTGAATTTCTTGGTATTCTTCATTTGAGAGTTCTTGGAGTTCTTCTTTTGTCAGATCAGTTTCAAGTTTTATTATGAGCCCTAAAATGCTTTTTATTTCTCAGATGTGATTTTCATTATTCCATTAGTAGCTTGAGACTTCTTGATATATCTTTCATAGCTAAGACTGTGCCTACTGTAGACCTGTTCAAGCCATACTGCCTAGCAACATTAGACATCTTGAACACACTTTCTTCCTTGGCTATTATCTCTTACTTGGTTTCTACAGTGAGCATAGTCCTTGACACTCCTCTTTTTAGGCTCCATAATATTATAGAGTTTCTTTTTTAAATAAAAAGTTCAGAAAAGCACTAAAAAAAATTCAGAGAACAGAAATCAAATAGCCCACAAAAAATTATTTAAATGCAAGGCCCGGATGAAATTCAAAATTTGGTATTAAAATGTTAACAAATATCCAATGGGACAGTTAAACTTTCACCTTTCGTAAATAAACCCGATGCAAAACTTAACAATTACCTGTCCGACAGTCTCGTGAAGACTATAAAAAATTATTTGTCAGAAAGGTAAACAAAAAGTTGGAATTACAAGGAAGAGTTTCAAAATTCAGAGGGATACTATCCGATTGGTATTGGGTTGAGCATCGATGTTGACATCTCCCATGGAGATTTTTTTCGAAAGGTTTGAATTGTTATCTGAAGACAAGGGAAAATCAATCAGTATTCGTTATTTTCCGTCGCTTATTTTTATGTTTGTTCAGTAAAGTGTTTGTTATCCAAACATGTGTTCCGATCATAAAAATCTTTTGCGAAAGTGTTCGTTATCCAATTTG